TATATATATATATATATATATATATATATATATATATATATATATATATATATATATATATATATACCTTTGAAGGTTACTACATATATACTATAAATAAATAGTATAATCTCAGTTTTATTGTGTCTGTGTGCAGTATAACTTTACTTATAAATACCTACTGTATTTATTTACCTATACCTCTCTTTACTTATACCTACCTATTGAAAGCACAGACTAAACTTAAGTTTTCCAGTTTGACAGTACACACATTCACAGACTTATGCCCGCTATAGCATCACCCCAAGAAATGAAAACTTTCCAATTGAGGGTTTGTATCTATATTTATCTATAAACCTGATGGATTCTCACCTCGGGTGTTAATAAGTTTTTCAGGCAGGGCCTTTAACCGACATCCAGTCTGTTCTGTTTCTCTACATGGCATCTGTGACCTAACAGCTCTAATCATAGAAACCCTCCTCACACACCTGCACCAGTACAAGAGAATTTGACTTTTTTTTTTTTTTTTTTGCCCCACACAGGTGGAAAAATCAACATAGTACTTTTTGCTGGTATGATAACACTTAGAGTCAAGTTAGTTAATTTTGCATTAATTTTGTCCACCTTTATGGGGAAAAACATTTTCAGTTGTATTTGACAGTTCACTCACTGGGAAAACACTATGTAACTATAGGTTTTAGAATAACAGGCAATGTAAATGTGTATAAATCAGTCACGTACCATCAAAAGGTGGCAGTAGAAAGTGAGCGTACACAGTTTTGACGGCCACGCCCAGGAAGTTGCTGGCCTCCAGAGTGTAATTGCCATTGTTGTGGTGTGTGGGGTTTTTGAATATGAGGCATCCCTCTAAGCTGTCCTGATAGAGATCCATTTCTGGATGGAGGTATTTTGTCGGCTTGATCTCCTCGCCCTTATAGTACCAGCGGAGGGTGGGCTGGGGGTTTGCACGCACTGTGAAGACCATACACGTGTCATGCCACTTCTGCGGTTCCTCAAACTTAATGATGACAGGAGGGACTGCAGGAGAGAAACACAATACTTTTATACAGAAAGGATTAAGTACTTTGTGCCACTGTCCAACATAAATCCATAAACCACTGAGCATGGATTATCATAAACCGTGTTTATGCATGAGTGGGACTTTGGCCTCTGCAGCACAGGTGGTCCGTATGGATATTTGTTTGATCTGCTATCCTGTCTCTTGGACAGGAAGATCCCAGGTTAACTGTCAAGCTGGTCAAGCATTTGGACGAGCGGATGTTTCATGGAATGGAGCCGCAGAGCCAAAGGGTGGGAAACAACTGCAGCCTATAACCTTTTCCATCATCTTTTCCATCACTGCATGTTTGACGGTAACTGTCAGCAATTATGATGCCGTAAATATGTCAAACATCCATATTAAACATTCATCAGGGATCGAATCAGTGGTTAATTCACTTCAATGTGTGGGTTCTACTTACATGAATACAGATATTTTTACAAATTTCTTCTAGAATAAGTTATTTTAAGCTATTAATATAATAGATCAAATATGAAAAAATAAATATAATAATACAGTACTATTCAAATGTTTGGAGTCTGCATGATTTTTTTTTCTTTCTTTTTAAAAGAAATTAATACTTTTTTCAGCAAGGACACATTAAATTGATCAAAAGTGACAGTAAATACATGTATAATGTTAAAAAATATATATATTTCAAATAAATGCTATTTGAACTTTCTATTCACCAAAGAATAATAAAAGTGCCACAGGTTCCACACAAATATTAAGTAGCACAACTGTTTTAAACATTGATAATAGTTAATGTTTCTTGAGCTGCTAATTAGGATGATTTCTGAAGAATGGACTGGACTGAAGTAATGACAGTTTTGCCATCACAGGAATAAATAACATTTTAAAATGTATTCAAATAGAAAACACATTTTTTTATTGTGATAATATTTCACAATTTTACTGTTTTTACTGTATTTTTCAATCAAATACATACATGCATGAGCATGAGACTTCTTTCAAAAAACATTTAAAAAAATCTTACTGACCCCAAACTTTCTAATGGTAATGTACATATAAAACTTTTATCTGATTAACACCCTCTATTTTTTTTCTCCTGTCTCAAGGCTGGAGATTGTGAGAGAGAGTGAGAGAGACTGACTGACTTTCTCTTATTTCCACAGAATTTGCCGCTCTAAGCAAATCTTACATGGTCAATAGATATTGAGTGTGGGAAGAATCATGTTACACTGTTGTTGGCCAACACCATTCAGTATAAATATAAATACTGATACAACACTGCGACCTCACATTACACTGTAATTGTATTGTGACGAGTCGGCTGCCTCCCCCTAGTTATCACTCCCGACGTGAGTGGGTGTGTGAGAGAGGAGGGGCGCTGAAATAGCCAGGGCTGGCGGCATGTGATGGGGCACACCTGAACCGAATGGAGCCTCATCACTGCTGCTGTTTAAATGCCGAGTGCGCCTCTCCTCGGGAGACCGGTCTCTTCCCTGTGCATGCACGCTGGTGTCCTCGTGGGTCCAGGAAGGGTGCATAGAGGGACTCCCGTGAGCTAGAGTCGTGAGCTACCGGACCCGTGGTCCGGGTGAGAACTGCACCCGTTACACGGCCGTCGGGCAAGGATGCCGGGCCGTCTAGTCCCTTCAAGCGCCGTGGGCCAAGGCGAGAAGGATGCAGCCGCTGGAAGAAGCCGCCGCCCATCGCGCCCTGGACTGGAGAGGGGAGCGCGTGCGGCCGCCGGACTCCACCCCTACCCTTGGACCCTTTTAATTGCCTTACTTCATTCCAAGTGGGTGAAAACAGCTTTCGTTGGATATTGTGATGCTCTATTGTGTTTTATTACTGTACACAGTTATTTTTCATTTTTTCCATTTAGTATAATTAATGTCAAAGCATCACAGGCTTCACAGGTACATCTGAAAACAGTTGAATTTATATATTTTATTTTAATATGATTTAATATAACAATAATATTAATTTATTATGTTACTGTGACAATGTATGGAATTCTCAAATAGTTTTAATTATGCACAGAGGCACAAGCAAATTAAAAGTGGTCTTCATCAAGTACCTTCTTGCTATACATTACCTGGTTAGTCAGCTCTGGAGTTACGATTAATGCACTAGCTTCATTTAATTATATAAACTAAAGTTTCATTGTATATCATCCTGTTGTGTTTTTTGGTAGAGCTACGTCATTATATATGATCCTTATTTGAGGCAGAGTTTGTCTTTGTTCTCTGCCTTTTCACTTTTTTTTACATTTGTTTGGTTATTGTTTCTCAGGGGTAGGATTTATATGTTTGATTAGAGGCATAGTTTCTTTTTGCCAATTTTCATGAGTTGCTTATTGCCTTAGGGTTGTTGTTTCTTTCTTTTCATTTGGGACATCATTTTTGCATGCCTGACCCTATATGGGAAAAATAAACTTCCCTTTTTCTTTCTGCTAAAAAATGCAATGTGCATTGATTTTTTTTTCCAAGTGTAATATAAGGCACAAACATTTTAAGTGAACAAAAACTGGAACGTTTCTGATTCCTAAGACCCCTGCATACCCTTCCCAATACAGAAAATACACCACCTAACTCTGCCACAAAGCAATCACATGTAGCCTGCTCCACACTGAAACATGATAACATTGATAAATCTCTCTAATATTTCACTTGTAGCCTTTTTTCGTGTGAAAAGTCCAGATGAAGAACAGCCCTCGCTATCATAGATCAATAAACTACACAAATGACTTTCCTACAACATGCTGGGTTGTGTAGAACCTGAGATTTCTTTTTTTTTTTTGTATGAGTAGGGCTATTTTTGATGAAGACATTTGTCATTATTTTATAACAAATTTCATTAGCCTCAGTGTGATTATTTTTTTTTCATTATTTTTTAGAATTTAATTTGACAAAGCAGCCATTATTGTACCATAATTGGCTACATTAAAATACTAATAATCATAAAACACAGTAAACTAATCTACAAAACCACATTTAACAGGTAGTGTGTAATTTCTGTGCCACTAACATCACTAAACGGAACTACAAAACAATCCAACCCGATCTCATAAAAAAAACGGATTTTTTAACGAGGTGGTGATTTTGTTTGATTTCATAATGTGATTTGTATGGAAACATACAATTTTTAGGGAGAAAGTAAAAATGGAGGGCCACACCTAAACCTAAGTGTGAATACAAAAATATACAATTAGGATTGCATGAATTCATAAGAATTACCTACCATTTCACTAAAATGTAAAAAAAGTTATTTGCCATAAAAGTGTTAAAACAATCTGTTGTCAAACAGGTTTCCAGAACACCCTCTCTCTCTCTCTCTCTCTCTGCCATTGGTCAGTCCATCAGGCAGCCCCGCCCCAAACTCACACCATTGGTTGAACCAGTTGCTATGCTGGGCTGATCGGAATCCTAAAAACAAACAGTGATGTTTTGAAAGCACCACAAAGCCACAGTGTTTACACTTTTGAGCAAAACCAACTGACACAACGGCTTACTTAGGTGCCTACATGCTAAGCTAGAATAATAGAAAGTATTTTAATAACAAAAGTTACACACTTCACCTCTAGGTTTTTGTCGCATAGATTCTGCATTTCTCAAGAGCTATTTTGATCAATAGCACTCACTTAAAAAAAAAAGCTTTCTAGTGATCTCACCTCCCTAAATGCCTACCTCATTCAAATAAAACAGGCAGCCCCGCCCCAAACTCACACCATTGGTTGAACCAGTTGCTATGCTGGGCTGATCGGAATCCTAAAAACAAACCGCGATGTTTTGAAAGCACCACAAAGCCACAGTGTTTACACTTTTGAGCAAAACCAACTGACACAACGGCTTACTTTTAGGTGCCTACATGCTAAGCTAGAATAATAGAAAGTATTTTAATAACAAAAATTACACACTTCACCTCTAGGTTTTTGTCGCATAGATTCTGCATTTCTCAGAGCTATTTTGATCAATAGCACTCACTTCAAAAAAAAAAAAAGCTTTCTAGTGATCTCACCTCCCTAAATGCCTACCTCATTCAAATAAAAGGCAATACAAATTAAGAAACGCGCACACACATGCACACAATGCCAAGAATGTCCATTTAGAAAACCAGCAGAAAACTAGGTGAAGGACAACATTATCCTAAAAAACATCAACTTCTCTGGCACCCATCAGTCAACCAAGGCCTGGAGAGCTGCTGGCGTGGTTCCATTTTGCAGCCAGAGTGGGTTCTGTGCCCAGGGCTTTGTGTACGAATGCTTTCTGGACTGCAGCCCTTTCCTGGCCACGTCTGTCCAGCTATTCAGCGTGCCAAATTCCCCACTGGTGCCCAGGGCGATCACAGTCCCCGCAAAGGAAGTCAAACAAAACATGAGCTTCTGGATTAAGGCAAAAACTAAGCCGCAAGATGTGATATAATGTGGCATAATATTTCAGTGCAATCTAAAATGAATACTCGCCAAAAAATAAGTAAAAATTTTCAAGTAAATGAACTGGTCAATTAAAAATGGATACATTAGTTGGTAACTTAGGAACTGTAACATTTTAAAACAAATAGTAAGACTAATCTTAACCTTAACATTGAATCAAAGAATCAACCTGTCTGTCTACTAAAGAAAAATGTCATGACCAGCACATATAACAGCTTTTACCTACGTCTAAGTCTTTACCTAAATCATAAGTTTATCAAAAGACAGTTTAAACCAGAAAAATCTAATCTTACATTTTTTTCGTCAGGCACAGTTTTACAAAGACGCAAATGTAGACTTATCTTGTATATGATTACTGCCTTCACTGATTGTCACTGATTTACAACTTCAATTGGCAGACGCTTTCACCCAAAGTGACGTAAAATGCATTCAAGGTTTACATTTTATTAGTACATTCTGGAAATCGAACCCCTTGGCTGCTATACAGCCAAATGTGTAAAAACTATGAAAATGAATGTAAAAGACTGCAAAATAATGAATTTTTTCATAAAAAATATTGCAGTGCCATGTTCAAGACAAATATGAACATGTGACAAATATGTTACATTTACAATTTCATTTGGCAGATGCTTTCATCTGAAGCTTGTAGTTATGTT